GGAATGTTATAAGAGCTGTAAGGGCCCCCAATAAAATGATTTTAAAAAACCAGAGGACATTGCCTGGATGTGGAACGAGCGCCACCCCTAAGTGCCTTTGCCTTCAATTTCCAGCTAGGTCAGGATGGTTAGGCTCTGCGCTAACATCACCTGGCCCAATGCTTGTTGGACTAGACGGGAGCCCTGGTGGCCTAGTGGTTACAAGCCGGGCTGCAATTGGCAATGTCCACAGTTTGAAAACCACCAGCCACTCCAAGGGGAAAAAGACGGGGCTTTGGACTCTGATAAAGAATGACAGTCTCGGAAACCCAGAGGGGCATTTCTACCCTGTCCTGTAGGGTCGCTCTGAGTCAGCGTTGTCTCCACAGCGGTGAGTGTGAGTTTTACCTTCCAGTTACACTAAAAAAAAAATCTTTAATGTGGTTCAGTTTTCGAACCTCTAATAAAATAACAACTGTGGAAGCAGGAGCCAAGACAACACACAGCACTGGGCAAACCTGCCACCCCAGGCCTCTTTAGAGTTGAAGAGCAAGAACGTCCCTTGGAGGACCGAGGTGCTCCTAATCCACGCGGTGGAGCTGTCATTCACCTCCTGTGCATCTGAAAGTTGGCCGTTGCTTACAGAGTACTGAAGAAGAATGGGTGCGCTTGAATTGAGATGCTGGTGGAAAATATTGAAAGTACCGTGGACGGCCAGAAGAACAGATCAATCTGTCTTAGAGGAAGAACCACCAGACTGCTCCTTAGAAGGGGGTCTGGTGAGACGTCATCTCACGTACATCACGGCGTGTTGTCAGGAGGGACCAGTCCCTGGAAAGGGACCGCACGCAGGGTGTGTTAGGCCGGGTTGACGACAGCAATGAATCCAGTGACTCTCATCTAGCAGAGAGCTTTACATTCAAGTAGTCATATTTCAGGGAAACATCCCAGCCCAGTCCAGATCAAGTGCGAAAGTCCAATACTAGCCCATAAGCCCCTCTTCAGACTCACACAGCCACGTGCAGCGATGCAGAATGCAGACGATCACAGGCCGGTGGATGCAAAGTCTTGTGGATCCAATGGTGGGCGACACACCACAGGGCTCTGGCAGGCATCAGTGTGGCTCATCCCCAGGAAAGTGAAGGCAGTGGGGGAGGGAGGTTCCCAACCCTCCTTATGAGGAGGTCATGTCCACAGGGAAGCACCATCAGGCAGTGACCTGGTTGACAGGCTAGACTCCAACCCTACACTTTCATAACTTCCATTTGACACGAAATTAGGTAATTGCCAAGTGGAAAGTCAGAGAACAGGAGGTCCAAGAGCTGGATTGTCAAGGCTGCAGTATTGGGCTCAAACATGAGGGCGATGATGATGATGAAGGCAGAAGGCAGTGCAGGACCAGGCAGTGAGCACTGACACCCAACAAGAATACTGGAGTGCCTATCTGTTAGCATGAGCCCTTGTACGCAGCCTTGTGCTGTGATCACAATAGGTCTTACGGGTTTGGTTTGTAGCTGTGGCTTGTACAGAGGTTGGCCTTCCGAATTCATAACCCTGGACCCTGCCTCTGTACACATGCCCATGGGGTTCCAAGAACCATTCCAATCAAGGAGCACAGCTCTTTGTCCCCTGGAGGCTCAGCCAACTGCTCTTTCCACGGCATGTGCTTGTCTGCAGCAGCTTCTGGATTCCGCAGTACTGAGCCCTGTAGTCACTGTCAGGCCCACGGGCCCTGCCCTGTTCTAGAGTCTTCCTCCGATGTCTCTCTGCCTGCCCTTTGTGTGTCTGGCAGCAACCTGCTTTAATTTTCCCTCCAGGCACTTACACTTGGGTTAATAGCTGTGTGTGCCTCTGAGATCTCTCCAACTGCAGTTCTCTCCCCCCTCGCCACAACCCGGAGGTGAGAATGACCGGGGTTATTTTCCAAGGCATTGTGAGGTTTGTGGGTCTGGATGCCCGCCCCCCTCCACTCTGACTCAGCAGCCCATTCGAATTCAAAGACTTCCACACAGGGGGTGTGCTCATTGGGCCCTGTTCCTGCCACAGAAGACTACCGCCCTATGAAGCTGCCCCAACACCAGCGGCAGCCCTGAACCCTGGGGCAAGGAAAGACATGTGTAGAAATATCAACCAATTAGAGACCACTCACGGGGCAGGGGGACCTTTATGGAACCTGTGACTATGGGGGATGGAGCAGAGAGATGGGGTGTCCGTGCAGACCATGGGACTCGGCTACCTTTGAGAAACCTTGTCTGTCCCCACTCATCCTGGAGACTGAGGACCAAGTCTGAAGAGGTCATTTTGGGGCCCTCTGAGCCCTGGAGGCATAGCGGTTATGCGTTGGGCTGCTAACTACAAGGTTAACAGTTCAAAGCCACTAGAGGCTCCGAGGGAGAAAGATGAAATGAAGCTCTCTGCACCGGTAAAGGTTGACCGTCTCAAAAACCCACAGGGCAGCTCTGCCCCATCCGCTAGGGCCGCTGTGAGTCAGAAGGGATTCGATGGCAGGGCATTTGGTTTGGCTTGATTTTCGTTTTGAGGAAAGGTCCGGCCGTGTTCGGTGCCATCGAGTCGGTTCTGACTCTGTGCATCACAGCTTCCCTCTGTACCATGGGGCCCGATGGTGTGCCGAGGATTCGAACTCGATGCAAAGGAAACAAAAGTCCTCGCAGCTGGACCAGGAGACGACACCACCATGCACGGCGAAGAGATGAAATTTGCCAACGAGTTCATTTTCCTCGATCCACAGGTCTGGGAAGCAGCAGTCAGGAAACCCAGACCATGCAGCCTGCTGAGCGGGTCCCCGGCGGCACAGGACCCCTTAACAGGTTAAAGAGCAAAGATGTCCCCTTTCGCTGTTGGCAGAGAATCTGAAAGGACCATGGACTGACCGACCACCAGAAGCACTGCCTAGGAGAACGTACGCCAGAATGCTCCTTAGAATAAGGTGACCCGATGTCCCGCTTTTGGCAGGACAGTCCTGATTTTTAACAATTTTTCCTGCGTCCTGCGGCATTTTAAAAACGTCCCAATTTTGGGAAAGAATGCACGACAAGCTGGGGTGTACGGTCTTCCGCTGCCATGTGGCTATTTCGCCAGGATACGAGTTTTATCAATGGTGTCCCACTGGTGTCCCGCTTTAGCAATGTTAAAATCTGGGCACCTTACCTTAGAGGCGGGAATGGGAGACTGTCTCACGGACTTCGGACCGTTGAGAGGAGGGACGAGGGACCGGCGTCTGGGGAAGAGTGTCCGTGCTTGGCCAAGCCGAGGGTCCGAGAAAAGGAGATCCTCGAGGCAGTGGGAGCACACCGTGGCTGAAACAACCAGTCAGACATATGAACAATTGTGAGGGTGACGCAGGACCGGGCGGCGTTTGGTCCTGGCCACAGGGAGCCCAAGGACAGGCAACAGCACGCAGCACAGCCAGAGTCGGGGGTGCCGTGGGCTTCGCCGTGGCTGGGATGTTTCGGAATCCATCAAGGGCCTTTCTTTCTAGGTGAGGCAAACCTCCCAGGGTCTCGGTTTCACAGAAGGCGCTCAGCTACCTGCAACCCCCAGGGGGCTCTTACTCCC